GGAGTTCGGCCCCTGACCTTTCTCTGTCAGCGACCGCCGAGCCGGCCACAACTGTTGCCCCTTCCGTACCAGCTGCCTCTTCGCCATCTACATCAACATCTTCCTACCTATCTACACCAATTTTCCATTCTTCACCAGCACTGAGTGCTTCTCCTCCACCGTCATCAACCTATCAAACGGGGAATGTCGCCCCTCCACGGTCTCCCGATTATGGGAACTTGGGAAATAACTATTCGGCACCTTCCCTAGATCCTCGTGGAAGGCGAAGCGCCACTCTTTTGGTTTCAAAGGAGTTCCATATTCTCTCAAAGCCAGTGGAGCTTGCCAATTACCGAAAGCCGCTGGCTTCAGCAAAAGATTGGAAGAAGATGGACTCCCTTTCGGGGGCCTCGTAAATAATAGCATGCACTGCTCGGCACGGGTAACAATCGCACTCTTTTCCATCTTTTTCCAACTTACGTTTCGAAGTAATAACCTTGGTTTTATTCCTCCTCCAGGCCAACTTTCTTGCCTCCGAGGGCCTGCAGAGACTGGTCTAGACAAGCAAAATCTTGCTTCAAAACGAGACCAACTGTCCGAGAGGAATTTTTGGAAAGAATGTTTCATTTGTGGACAAGGTTAAGTCACGAGATCAGGTTTAAATTTATATATTTTCTTAAAGCTAAAGTTGACTGCTTGGCATGGTCGCATTCGGATATGACAGGAAATCCATTGGAGGTAGCGATCCACAAACTTAGCTTGGATCCGAACTTCCCACCGGTAAGACAAAGAAACTCCCGATAGCAGAGGTCAGGAACAAGTTTGTTAAAGAAGAGGTAACTCGACTACTCAATATCGGTTCAATCCGGGAGGTAAAGTATCCGTAATGGTTAGCCAACGTAATTGTAGTACCCAAGAAAATAACAAATTTAGGATGTGCGTAGACTATAAATATTTGAATAAGGCGCTCCCCAAAGACTCTTTCCCATTGCCAAATATTGATCAAATGATTGATGTGACGGCCGGACACGAGTTTATGAGTTTTCTTGACGCTTACTCCGAGTATAATCAGATTAGGATGAACCCGGAAGATTAAGAAAAAACTTCTTTCATGACAAACTTCAGCATATATTGTTATAATGTGATGCCTTTTGGGCTTAAGAACGCTGAAGCCACTTATCAGAGGCTCATTAATAAATGTTTGAAAAGCAGATAGGAAAAACCATGGAAGTATATATCGATGACATTTTAGTTAAGTCTTTAAATGCAGGAAATCATCTGAAGCATCTCCAAGAAACTTTTGACATCCTAAGGAAGTACAACATGAAACTCAACCCCGAGAAGTATGCCTTCGGGGTCGGCTTCAGAAAGTTCTTGGGGTTTCTAATCTTACAAAGAGGGATCGAAGAAAACCCCGACAAAATTAAAGCGATCAAGGACATCCCGAGTCAGCTAACAAGCATAAAAGAAGTGCAGAGATTTACCGGTAGGTTGGCGGCTTTAAGCAGGTTCATCTCAAGATCTTCGGAGAAGTGCCACCACTTATTTTCTCTTTTGAAAAAGAAGAATGACTTCGTGTGGACTGCGGAATTCCAGCAAGCATTGAAGGACCTAAAATGGTACATGTCTAGTCCTCCGTTGTTGTCAAAACCAGAGGAAGGTAAACAAATGCAAATTTATTTAGCAGTCTCGGAAGTACCGGTAAGTGTCGTTCTGGTTCGAGAAGATGAAGATAAGCAATTTTCTATTTATTACGTTAGTAAAATACTATCAAAAGGGGAGACACAATATCCACACCTAGATGAAGGTATGCAATTTTCTGTAACTTTTGCCTCTAGCACCGGGAGGCGTGCAGCAACCTTATAACTTTCAGCCAAAAGTTGTTCCCATTTGGAAGCAAGTCTTTGTTTATCTAGGATCAACCTTTGCAGACCCTCAGAAGCAAGGAGGTTGGCCTAAAGGTGTTTACCGGGTGGGCCGGGCCGGGTTGAGAAAAAAAGTGACCGGCCGGTCACCAATCCGAGCCGGTTATCGGTTTTTCAAACCGGGCTTAACGGGTTCGGGCTTATCCGAGTAAAAACTGAACCGGAACGGTTTACGGGTCCAAGGGGCCGGGCCGGGTTTATGTTATTATTATTTAATTTTTTTTTGTATTTTGGATGACTATCATAATTTATATTAATATAAAGTAAAAATATATAACAAAAAGATAATCTTATAAAAAGAGTGTTTGAATAAAGGATGCAAAGGCTTTAAAATCCTTATATTTGAAATTTTGAATATTTCATTAAGAATTTAAGATAATAGAATACAATGAAGATGGAAAAATAATTGTACTTATAATTTCCACGTTCTTTTTTTATTTCAAACTTAGAAATTAAAGTTTACATTTAACAACAACTAAATTAATCAAAAATAAGTAAATTCAAAGGTTTTGCATTACCTTAGTAAGTTCTTCATAATCAATATGAACTTCTTGGCCATCTTCTGGAGTGTTAAATTCATATGGGTTACCATGTGTTAATATATCTCCAAGTTCCTCGTCTTCTGGTTTATCAACATCTTCACGTCTCTGATTTCTTAGTTCCAATCTAATCCAATCTCTGAAACATACTAAAACTTCCAAAGCTTGCTTAATAAGTGACGGGTGTCTCCTAGTTGTTGTCTTGCTTGACTAAATGCACTCTCTGATGCAACAGTTGAAATTGGCACATTCAGCACGTCCCGAGCCATAGCGGAAAGAACAGGAAATTGCTTTTCATTCTCATGCCACCATCCAACTGTGAAAATTCCTTTGTGCAAGGCTCTTTTTGCTTTTGCAAGTAGAATTGAAGTTCATCAATGTTCCTGCTACTGGTTTGAGTGGTAGGAAATGTAGACCAAATATTAAAACCATCAAGGCCTTCATCATCATCCATAGTAGTAGATGCAGTAGAAGTGGTACAATGCATAGTGGGATTAACATTGCCTACATTAAGATTAACATTATCAATTATATTTGCATAATAATTATATAATTATTGTAAATAATCATTTAGCTTGTTCATACAACAATATGTATCTGATGGGACTAAATTTTTCCAGAATTATAAAATCCTGAAATTATAATTCCTAGACTAATTTATCTCACCTGAGAGGTGAGATAAAAATTATTCCAAGTCTGATGGGATAAGGTGAGATAAAATAGAATATCCGAGATTAAGTCTGGGATTCCCGAGTACCAAACGACCCCTTAATGCTTAGATGTGTATGTTAAGATAGGATATAAACTATTAGATTAGTAGCTGCTTACAAGAATTATGCAGGAGGCTATGCAAGTTTTTGTGCTTTGTAAATATTACTTGGTAAATATAATTCTTTTACTTACCAAAAAAAAAAAATCTATTGTGTACCATACTTTTTCTTTGCAATATTGTAAGTTTATTCTTCATATTATTGGTGCATGACATCATAAGATGACGGTAAATAATACTATGTATCCAAACATTGTATGCATCAAAACAATATAACACATTATAATATATTATAAACGATACGTAACAACCATCCAAACAAGTGGAAGTTCTGCAAATGAAAGTATAGTCATAGATAATTACCGTGCTATATCAGAAACCAATATAGTAACAATAGAAAATATAATAACGAAAAAATAAAAAATTCACCGGGAACGTGCATAGAGCTTTTTAAACAGCAACACCTAGCTTGAGAATTTAAGATTTTCGTGTTTTCCTCCTTTTCTCCTTTATTATCTTCCAAACAAGAAACTCCAAAGCTCCAACACGCTGACATGTGGAGTTGAGTATTGAAAAGGAATGATTCTTTGAAATGCAACAGAAAGCTTGATTCATAGGCTGTAGTTACTCATATTCACCAGCCTCTCCATGACCAGCAAGCATCCAGATGCTTAACAGTTCCATTCTATCCTTATCGCATATCCTATCTTTCTCTTTTGGCATATTTCAGTGTCATCTTCTGACTATTGCTTATTCCCTTCAGATATGCACAACATCTAACTTTAATGGCATATATATCTGTATATATCATAACTCAGGCTATTTAGAGGAGCCAACACTAGTTAACATCACAAACAGTGATGCACTAACCAATTAGTACCGGCATAAATATTCACAAAGCATCAGTAATGTACATAAATTCCAAAGTAGATCACGTATGAAACCAGAACTATTTACAGAATAGCGACATGCTCAAGAAGTTCAAGGCTGTTGATGCAATATAACTCTTAACATTATTAAAAGACAGAAGATATTTGAAAGTACAAAATTACAAAGAGCTCTAATATTATCTGAACAACAACGTTTCATGGTCCGTGTCTTGAAAGGGACAAGCTGAAGCTCACAGAACTACTTCCATATTTGCTGTGGCTGCTTCGGGATGGTAATGCAGTATTTCCTTCCACATCATTTCCCTTATTGTCTGTTCCCCTAAATCCTCATCTATGTCGAGGTCGATAGGAACCTGTGCTGGGGGATCACATCTTGGATCATATAGGGGAGACATGTATGGATGTTGAAGCGCTTCTGTAACACTTATTCTTTTTGAAGGATCAAACACAAGCATCTTCTGTAGCAGATCAATGGCCAAAGGATGGGCATGGGGATAGAGTCGGGAAAAGGGTGCTCCATAAGAGTATGGAAGTGATTTTATGTAGTTTCTCGCCTTCTGGTTATCAATAAATCTAAGATCTTCTTCCCTCTGGCTGCCAAGGATGTTGATGATCAATTTAAGCTGGTTAAGGCACTCCTTACCTGGAAAGACCGGTTTCCTTCCAAGGAGCTCAGCAAAAATGCAACCAACAGACCATACATCGATGGAAGTTCCATAGTTGTCACAGCAGAGCAGGAGCTCCGGTGCCCTATACCAGCGTGTAACAACATACTCAGTCATGAACTGGCCTTTGCCATTGCTTGTACGTGCAAGCCCAAAGTCACAAATTTTTAAATCACAGTTAGCATTGATAAGTAGGTTCCCAGGCTTCAAGTCACGATGAAGAATGTTTGCAGAATGGAGATACTTCACACCTCGAAGCAACTGCATGCAAATGTCAATTTAGTTTTCAGAAGAGAAAAAGGTAAAATCGGCAAATCTGATATCTAGGGAATTTTGTCGATCTTTTTTTATTTTTCTTTTGAGTAAACTCCAACCCCACCCCACCCCCCACCCACCCACCACAAAAAAAAAAAAAAACAGGAGTTGACAATGGCCCTTTTCCCACTTTACTCCCTTGGTGACTCGAACCTCTAACCTCATAGTTGGAAGTGGAAGATCTTTAATAGCTCATCCAATCCTATTTAGGTTACAATTAGCTCCTAGTTCTGACTTCTAATACATATTGGATTCCATGTCTAACTTAGCTTTGTAAGATTGATCTCCAATTTATCCATTTGAGAGAAGAATGAGAAAAGAGAAGGAGCAGATGATACATTCTGACTCCACATATATATATCCCCATATCAAATGACAAAACTGCCCTATCATGGGGCATGTGTTGGGCAAGCATGAAGAATTAACCAAAGAAAGCCATATGGTTGTTCACTTCGAAAATTCTATTGCTCAAAACAAAGCTAAATTAGACATGGAACCCAAGAAGCAAATTTAAAATTTGGGAAAGGAGACGACTATGGATTAGCAGAATTTTGCAGAAGTGTAAATGGACCAAAACGACAATAAAGTTAGAGATAACTTTTGACACGTTTTGAGTTCTTCAAGGTGTAAGGAGAGACACAAAAAAACTCTTAAAACAAGGCCACAAGGACCTCATCGGAATCTTGGCTTGAAAAGATGCTACTGCAAAAGGGGGGAGAACTTTTTCAAACAAGGCGCAAGGACCTCAGTGACAAATTTCTTAAAGAACTGGTTTTGGTCCTTTACTATAACATATGGGTGAGTGGCATCGGAAAAACGCCATGCCACAAGAAGTTTGTTCCGAGAGAAAGTAGGATAATCTTTTCCTTTATTTTTTGATGACCTAATCTTTTCCTTTATTTTTTCATCAGCAAACATAATTAGAAGGTAATATCAGGAAAATAACTGCTAGAGACGTATGAGTGGAATCATAACTTAAAAGAGCTAGAGTAAGATATAACTGCTAGAGACATGATTCTACTTAGTCGTGTAACTACTGCATATCCAAGTTAGCTATAGATAATGCCTATTTCACTAATTTATCAGACTAAATGAGACAAGGAATATGTTTAAAGCATCATTTAGATATATTCAGGAGATATGCTTTTCTTTTGATAGTGAATTGAAACTAGTGTTTGAAACAATCACGTCATTTCTTTTAAGGAGATGCATAGTATGTGCTAGATAAAGTTACAAACCGCGCTAATTTAATTTAAGATTCAGCTTGTTATCCATGTTCATACGGGCCATATTCATAACCTATGTAACCTGATTACTTTTAAGTGGCATATCTATTAGTATCCTGTGCTAAACAGCTATTTCTTTTCCAAAACAAAGCATGTAAATAAAGTGATATTTTTTTCTTTTTGTTTTGAACCTGGGTTTCAGGGGTAAGCCAAAGAATGTAGTTACGAAATAATGATTCACATTCAGTTCATCAGACGTAATTTGCATTCTAGACTTAAAGGAATTTCAGGTTGATTTCATCGTAGATAATTTCATGGCCGATTCAACTGCCGAGTTTATTTCTTTTGAAGTGCTTCAAGTTATTTGATTTATCAAGCACGAGAGTTCTCAGTTCTAATGTTCCTTAATATGTCCAAGGCGTGACAAATTTCACTTCTTTTGCCATTAAAAATGGAAGGAGTATAATACTTGAAAGTAATTTCAGTAGGCAACATAAAACTTCCATTTAGAAACAATGGGGAACATGCTTGGTAAGAAAATACTGTTTTAGAAGGATTTCTACCTACTTGATGTATTTGTTGTCCATTCCATCAAAGGTGGAGAAGAGAATTAACAGATAATGCTTTGGGAAGGTAATGCTACTAACAGGAAGATGCACTTAGTTAAATGGCAAAAGATCTCTAGAAACAAAAAAGGGGGCAAAAGTCTTGGAAGCTAAGAGATCTTAAACTACACAATAAGTGCTTGTTATTTAAAAAGTTATGGAAGTTGAATGATGGTAAAGATGTTGTATGGAAATCTATTGTTATCACTAAATATGGCAAAGAAGGCTCTTGGGATCCAAAACCTGTCTACTTACTGTGAGGATGATTAGATGGTTGGAAAAATCTTCCTTTTTTTTTTTTTTTTTTTAGGGGGGGGGGGGGGGGTTGGATTTTAAGAAAACAATAATCCTAAAAGTTATTCGGCTTTCCCATGTCCAAAAGATGAAGGTGGCCGAAATGAGGATGTTGAGATGGATGTGCGAGCATACCATGCTAGATAGAATTAGAAATGGAGTTATTCAGGACAAGTGGCCCCTGTGGAGGGAGGACAAGATGCGGGAGGCGAGACTTAGATGGTTCGGGCATGTGAAGAGGAGAGGTACAGATGCACTGGTGAGGAGGTGTGAGAGGTTGGCTCTGGAGGGCCTAAGAAGAGGTAGAGGTAGGCCGAAGAAGTTGTGGGGAGAGGTGATTAGGCAAGATATGGCATTGGTCCAGCTCACTGAGGACATGATCATGGATAGGAAGGTGTGGAGGCGAAGAATAAAGGTAAAGGTTTAGGATAGGTCGCCTAGGGTGGTCCTTTTCCGTAACAGTAGCTTTAGTACATGAGTTAGCGTTATTTATGTATTTTTGTATTCCTTGACTTCTGTGATTATTTGTTGTTGCTTTCGTTCCGGCCTTCTGATTACAATACTCAGTTTTAGTTTTGTATCTTTGTATTTTTGCTTTGGTTTTCTAATTGGTGTGCTTACTGCTGCCCTTCCTTTTATCTTTCCTAAGCCGAGGATCTTCCGAAAACAGCCTCTCTGCCTTCTTGGAGGTAGGGTAAGGTCTGCGTACGCACTACCCTCCCCATACCCCACTTGTGGGATTACACTGGGTCTGTTGTTGTTGTTGTTGTAATAATCCTAAAAGTGGGAAATCGGAAGAGAATTTGATTCTGACTAACAGATGGTGTGAAGAAAGGTTGCTCAAGGATGTTTTTCCGTTATCTATTCAGTATAGTCAGAAATAAAGATTGCCTGTAGGCAGAATGGAAAGAAGAGGATTTCTTCTTCTCTGCAGTAGGTGCTTCTTGTGTGAAAATTCAGTGGAAACAGTGAGCCACTTACTGCGACTTTTCATGAAAAATCTGAACACTATTTCTGAAATATTTCATTGGTTGATGCCTCAGAGTTTCAGCGAATTACTTAGCATCTGGCAATCACATAGCACTGACAAGATATTCAAGCTGATCTGGAGGGAAATTCCTTTACGCATTGCATGGGAAATACGGCTGGAACGAAATAGAAGATGCTTTGAAGGAAAAATGGAGTTCATAGGAGTTATAAAACTTAAATGTATTCAGAATTTATTGTACTGGTACAAAGGGATTGTTGCTACTGATTTGGAAGAATTCAAGTCCAAAATTTTGTTTCTTTGTCAGTACCCTCGTGGTACTGAAAGAGTGAAAGTTGAATAAAAGTTAAAGAACTTAACAGCGAGAGGACCCTTAAACTTGGCCCTTCATGAAAAAACTCAAACAGCATTTGGAATTTCAGAGTACCTATTAGTACTATGTTCACTCCAGAACCAAAATTCAAAGATTACTTAGTTATATGTTTAGTTGCTTGAATGAGTACACTAGTCATAGAGCTAGTAGAAGACAACCATAAATGAGAAAGAAGGAAAAGAAGAATCATCACAAGGCTGCCAAGTAGTCATTATATTCATATTGGCTAAAACTGGAAATTTCCTTCCGACAACAAAAACATCAAAATATCACACTTACCCGATTTGAAGCAGAAAAGTCAAGTTCAACGAACCAATTCCTCATCATAAACTACTTCAGTATGACAAAGTAAATCATGTTGAAGATGCACTTCAAAAGATTGCAAGTAAATATAGCTAGTGGTCTCAAGGTACCTGAAATAGGAAATACTGGCAATGGTCGTTTGTGAGTGTTTGAGGGGATTTGATGATCTGATGTAAATCTGTATCCATTAACTCATAAACCAAATAAACATCTTTGAAACTTGTCTTGTGGATTGGCATCATAACATCTTTCAAAGCAATCACATTTTCGTGCCTAAGATGGCGAAGGAGCTTTATTTCACGCAAAGTTCTCAGGGCGTCAATATGATTATCAAAGGCATTGTTTATCTTCTTGATTGCAACCTTCTCACTGGTTTCCTTGTTAACAGAAGAGCAAACAATTCCATATGCTCCTCTACCAATTGGTTTGATGGGAACATACTTTGTGTCAATCTCAAACAAAGATTGCCACATCGAATAGTAATGTTTCCCCGGGCTCCTAATCCCATTTGGAGGTTCAACTCGAGTTGCCATATTCCTAAATCTGTTGAAAACCAGGCCAAATATTTAAGAGACAACTTTTAAAATAACAACTTTAAAAGCAACAAAAGAACAAATATCCAAAATGCAACCCTAAAAATAGAAACTTGAAAAGCAGTAAAAGAAGCAAAATCAAATAAGAACCCATTAAAATAAAAGCACTAAAAAGAAGCAAATCTAAATATGCAACCATAACAAAAATAGAAACTTTATGCAGAAAGCACTCACCTTTAACTATCCAACACCTTGAGTCACTTCAATAAACTAAGTACATCTTCAACCCCATCTCACAAAGTTTCGATCTTTGTAACAAATCTTCATAGCAATCCTGTTTTCAAGAAATTCCCATCATCCACTTAGGTTGAGCAACCTCACTGTTCTGCCTCAAATTTATCCAAACCCAATAAGCAATAACCCGAGTTAGTTCAACTACAACACAGCTTTCTATTAATGTATATATCCTGGAGGTATTAGATCAGGAAAGATCCAAATTAATATGTCTCGCTGTTCTGTGATTTTCCGTAAGTGTAATAATAATACATATAGAAGGCAAGGGTATAAAATATATACAAATTTCGCGTGTCAACTTGATTCGTTATCTTGTCAACGTCATCTGAAATTGAACCAGCAGAGGACACATATACCTAGTAGTAGTTGTAAAAGGAAATATATTTCCATAATTTGCACTCTTCCACTTCAATTTAGATCAGGTAGATTAATTCGCACCAAGTTTAAACAAGAAAAAGATTTTTAAAATTTGTGATCCTTTTGCGGAGCGATGATATAAAAAAAAAGTTTATTAAGAATAAAATAGGTAAAATAAAAAGTTTAAAGTTAAATTATTTCTGAATTTATAAATATAGGCATTACTTAATTTGAATCAAACTAAAAAGAAAAATAACTCGTCTTTCTTTAAAACGGAAGTCATTTTCACTCTATTTTGGACTCTCTGAGTGTGCGCACTGTTATAAGTGCCAATTTTGTGTTGGGTCCACATGGCCATCTTATGTGGGGCTAAGTTTACCAGTAGCCACTTTTAGGCCTATTAATTTATTATTATTCAATATTTACAAAGTATTTAAAATATAGCTCACTATTTGGTATATTTTGCTTTATCGATATCAAATCATAGCCCCTTAAAGTCATGACGATAAACACTTTCTATATACACATTCTGAATGTGTTTTATTTTATCATCAAACATCCCTGAGAGTTGTATGCGTAAAAAGTATTTATGTAATTATGGAAGGATCTTATTGCTAGAATAAAAAATAAATATCGTGTTAAAATATCATGGTATAGCCAGTTTTCATACTGGTCAATGAAAAATAGCCATTATTTTGCTGCAACAGGGACCGGTCCAGTATAATATACGGGAGTTCTGGTGCATTTGTGTACGAACTCCAGCATATTAAGCTGGACCGGTATACTTTGCTAACTCCTGTAAAATTTGCGGGAGACTGGAGCACCAGTGCTCCAAACTCCAGTATATTATACTGGACAATTATACTTGCTGGAATTCCCGTAAAATTTGCGGGCGTATTTTTCCGGATTTTGAACAGTGTTTTCGCTCAGATTTAAAGTGGCTAAATTTCGATGACTTTTGAAACTTGGCTATTTTTCAACGACCAGTGATAAATCTGGCTATTTTTGAATTTCTCCCAAATATGGTGCCTAATTTCCATGACCAGAATGCATAATCATTAAACTGAATCATTCAATCAAAATTTCCGCAGATAGGACAATCCTTTATAGATCGACCTTTAAAGAATCCCTTAAATCTATTAACACTAGAAGAACAAGTCTATATCAATAGTAAATTATCATGTTTAGACCGTTATCCACCCACATAATGTATGTATTATTTCAAAACAAATTAAAGCTTTAGTTCTATTCACTCATTTTCTTATCTGTACAAAGAAGAAGTGGGTCTTTGCCACTTTTTGAAGTTGTGTCTATTTTTTAAATATATCTCAAATATTGACTGTGTTTTAAACTACAACCCTAAAAGTTGCCCTCTTCCCAATTAATCGTTAAAATAGCACAGGCTAGCCAGTTTTCGGACTGGTCATTCAAAAATAGCCAGCGTTTGTCAAGTCATTGAAAAATAGTCACTATTTTGCTGCAACAGAGACTGGTCCAACATAATACACTGGAGTTCGGTGCACCTGTGTATGAACTTCCAGCATATTATGCTGGACTGGTATACTTTGTTGGATCTAGTATAATATACTGGAGTTCCAGTATACTTTGCTGGAACTCTAGTATAATATACTGGAGTTCCAGCAAAGTATATTGGAGTTTTGTAGGAGAAACGGTGTGGAGAAACACCACATACTGACGGAATGGTGGGTTGCTCGTTCGTCGTACATTTTTTAGGTTGTTTGGCACTACTTTGGCTGTCGTTTTATGTATGAAGTGATTAGGGTGTGTGGGTTATTTTGTGGTATATTGTGATGGAGATAAGGTTGGAAAATGATGCATACATTTTGTTATTGTTGTGTTCTTGTTGTTGTTGGTATATGGTGTTGGAGGAGTGCCTTGTTACAGGGGGATGCTGCCCAAATTTACGTAAATGAGCTATTAATTTAAGTTGCGGACTTAGCCTTTACTCAGCACTGATTTTAAATCTCCTTATGTTGTGGTAGATTGAATTGAGTTGAGTTGTTTGAAGAATTGCTTGGAAGGTATTAAGGACTCAACGGAGTTAAGGTATGTTAAGGCTAAACATTTCCTTCATTTTGGCATGATCCCGTAACTATATGCATTTGATACCGAGGCATAAAGAGAAGTTCTAATTCATAAATTTATGTACATTATCCTAGTCTCATAAGCTACAGTATTCTTCCTTATCAGGACTTCATATTCAGCTTAGTTTTGTCTTCTTTCAGCCAAGAGATCAGAAGAAATAGTCAGAAATCAACATTTAACAATCGATAACAACTCAAGGTATAAAGGGAGCAATATAAGTAATTAACACAATGATGATATGTGCAGTTTGTTCAAAATACAGGAATTTAGATATGCTTTCAAGTATAACAGTTAAGGTCCATCACAGATAAAATTTGTGGCTAGACCGTGCTATTTTTACCATCTTATGTGGGGCTAAGTTTACCAGTAGCCACTTTTAGGCCTATTAATTTATTATTATTTAATATTAACAAAGTATTTAAAATATAGCCCAATATTTGGTATATTTTGCTTTATCGATATCAAAGCATAGTCCCTTAAAGTCATCTCGATAAATACTTTCTATATACACATTCTGAATGTGTTTTATTTTATCATCAAACATCGCTGAGAGTTGTATGCGAAAAAAATATTTATGTAATTATGGAAGGATCTTATTGCTAGAATATATATAAAAATCGTGCCTAATTTCCATGACCATAATGCATAATTATTAAACTGAATCATTCAATCAATTTCCGGAGATAGGACAATCCTTTATAGATCGACATTTAAAGAATCCCTTAAATCTATTAACACTAGAAGAACAAGTCTATATCAATAGTAAATTATCATGTTTAGACCGTCATCCACCCACATAATGTATGTATTATTTCAAAACAAATTAAAGCTTTAGTTGTTTTCACTCATTTTCTTATCTGTACAAAGAAGAAGAAGTGGGTCTTTGCCACTTTTTGAAGTTGTGGCTGTTTTTTAAATATATCCCAAATATTGACTGTGTTTTAAACTACAACCCTAAAAGTTCTCTCTTCCCAACTAATCGTTAAAATAGCACGGGCTAGCCAGTTTTCGGACTGGTCATTCAAAAATAGCCAGCGTTTATCAAGTCATTGAAAAATAACCACTATTTTGCTGCAACAGAGACCGCTCCAACATAATATACTAGAGTTCGGTGCACCTGTGTATGAACTTCCAGCATATTAGGCTAGACCGGTATACTTTGCTGGCTCCAGTATAATATACTGGAGTTCTAGTATACTTTGTTGGAACTCTAGTATAATATATTGGAGTTCCAGCAAAGCATACTGGAGTTTTGGAGGAGATACGGTGTGGAGAAACACCACATAGTGACGGAATGGTGGGCTGGTCGTTCGTCATTAAATTTTTAGGTTGT